ATCTCGCCGGAAACTGCCACCTCCGATAGGCGCGTGAGAGCGCGTGGGGTGGTTTTTTCCGGTGGTTTTGGCTGGGGTTTGGTCGCGGGGGCTTTCCGAGCCTCGTGGTGGTGTTGGTTTTCGCACAACACCCACAGAAAGAAAAAAGTATAACAAAATCAGACCCAACAGTCACCGGAAATTGACATAGACATACGGTGACTTGTTTGTTCTCACCAATGCTCTAATACCATGTGAGAAATATATACGAAAAATATTATTGAATTGTGTATCTAAATAGTTACATTGAGACCCTATTTATAGACACTACATTGGAATCCTTTTCCAACTAGGATTCCTATTCTTATTCCTATTCCTATTCCTATTCTTATTTCTATTCTAAGTAGGAAATACTTATTTCTATTCTAACAGTAACAAATTACTCCTCGGATCTATATGGATTTGTAAGAACTACAAATCTGGCCTCTTTACATTTATTTATTTTTCCGATTCTAAAAAATGTAAAGAGGCCAGATTTGTAGCTTGATCTCTTACAAATCCATATAGATCCGAGGAGTAATTTGTTACCAGAATGTGACCCTTGACGCAGTTTGAAGTAAGAAAACTGTGAGAAATTAGACAGAGAAGTAGATGTGGATAGTTGGTCACTGCCTCTTAGAATATCTAGAGAATGTATAAAGATCCATATATGTTTATATTCATTGTAGTTGAGGAAATCATACAAAATATTCTGTAAGATATCTTAGGATATTCTGTATTTAATTATAAAATATTTAATTAACTGATTAGCATTGAAATTGAATATCTGCAATATTGTGTGTAGCATATGACTCCCAATAAGGAGCATCTTTTGTACTTTATTACTTAATCAAGTCAATAAGGAGTTTTTTATTTTATTTTCACATGGTATCAAAACCTCTAAGATCTCGATAGAGACTCAAATTAGCTTTCATAACCGATGAGCAGTGCAAGCCAATGTGTGTCGCTCGTATTTTCTCCTTTTCTTCCTCTTGGTCCAGCACCACTCCTCCCAGCAACTGGTGTCACAACTCATCTCTCTGCAACTATTCATGCATTCCTCCTCTAAGGCATTGTTCAGGCTTTGCTCCTTTCTCTAAGATTCTTAATGCAAGATTCATCTTTCCGGCGACTGGCTTTGATATTTACCACGAGATTAATGCCCTCCTTTAGTGTTATACCTCATACGTCTAAACTACAAAAAGACTGATTAGACATTCACGAAATTATCCGAGATCAGGTGAATAAGGTCGACAATGAATAAATATATCAAGTATCCAGTGTACTACTGCATTGAATTAAGACTTATGTCCCAAAATGATTTAAGCTTTACAGTGCTACATCGACTGTTAAGTTACAGTATGATTAGCGAACATCGACAAATTTGTCCGAACTCGAAGGATAAGGCCAAGAATGAGTACATATGTTAAGGGTAAGTACTATATGGTAATTAGTATGTGGTAAGGTTACGGATTGATAAAAGCTTTAACGTCTAAGTTAAGTCGAAAGGGACATCACAAATGAATTTTTCTTTATGAGCCGCAAAAGGGTCAACTTTGAACGAGTATATCTCTAGGTTCAAACGAGTTATGTGGTGTACGACCTATCAAATTAAAGGTCTTTGAGTCTACTTTCTAGCAAGACAAACCACTCATCCATCCAACTTCAGAGTAAGAAGTTATGCGCGTTTTACAACGGACAATGCAGAGCCAAAATTTGGTGTGATGGACATGTGGCACCTCATGGTATGTCAACCAGAAAAATTGTAATTTATAAATTACAACTTGAGGCTCATTTGGCCATAGTTTCAAAATGTTTTGGGGGCTGGAAATCAAGGGTTCTTCATCTCCATCTCTCCCTAGCTTAAGATAAGTTGATTCCTTCAAGAATCAAGTGTATTCCTCATCATAGATCATAAAAACATACTTAGCCAAGTGTTTTCTTGAAGGCAAAGGTATTGTTCTTGAAGAATACAAAGTGCAGAGACCGATTTTCTTCTTCATAGAGGTATGGCACCTCTTATCTCCATAAATATGATCCTAAAGATGTTTTTAAGTATAGTTTACAGGCAGTGATGGGAAGCCGTGGGTCCAAGTTTTGCCCTTTGTGATTCATGTATTTGGCAAGGAGGGAGTATGTAGAGAGTTGTTTTAGTTGCTGTTTAATTGGTTAGCCTCGTAGAAGGCGAGTATATTGCTTGACTAGTGATACGAAATATTGAGTACGAAGAGTGCCATTAATTTGAAAGTCTCATGAGCTCGACACTCGCATTCTGTTTATCGAATTGTCAAAATGGCCTGGTTATGTTGTATAGTTGTTTATAGTAGCCTTGTTACTGGTTCTTATTATAGATTGAAGCATCAAAGGAACATTTGATCGTTATAATATGCTAAAGGATTGGAATCAAGTTATGTAAGGTTAAACTTTCTAATTTGGGATTTTTTAACGAGTTTCTCGTACGATGTGTTTCTTTCATTTTATGAGCTGCCATGTTACCTAAAATGGTCGGTAGCTCCTCCATTTGAGACATTATATGTTAAATAAATCATTTGCAAGAATAACGACTACAAAGACTCATAGATAAAGTTCTAAGTATAAGACACTCTATGGTCTTCACAAGTATATGATTCATATGCCTCAAGTATTCGTACATAACTATTTGTAAAGCCATATCTTATCCATATTGTAAATGTGTTTTACGAGTTTCAAAATGTCACATGAAGCTTCTTATAGTTCTTTAAGTACGACACTCTAGTTGCCTTCGATTTATATGATTAAAACTGCCTCAAGTCTTCATGTTAGTTGCTCATAGAGTCATATGTCTTGCATGACACATGTATGTATTAAAGGTTTCAAGTTTAATATCATCCGATGAAATCTTTCATGATATCCATATGTATATTCATTGATTAGTTTCATGTTTCTTTAAAAGGTTCATGTGATATTTAAGTTACAGTTCTTCGACTATAATTTCTTAATGATGTTAAAGATATCCTTTAAACTATTGAGTCACAAATTTCACTTGATATTATAGGCTATTAAGCCACAAATGTTTTATGCCATACATTATAAGTTGTTAAGCTGTAGACATGTATATATACATAGGGCCACATGAGCCAAATTATATACCGTATTTGTTTTGGGAGCATTCTTGGAAACTGGGTATATCCACACATGCCGGTGCGATGAGAGTCGTTCCGATGGCTAGACAATTTTCCTCTTTGATTGGGATGTATGTGATAATGTTACATATATGCATATATGGGAACTAGATCCATGTCTTTCTTGTTCCACTAGCTAAGACTAAATTCTCACATGTCCCTTTTGTCATTCCAAGCTTCTTTTTTGATGTCAAAGACTAGAAGCTACGCGCAAATTCAATGCAACATCGTGTTAATGCAGCTTAGCCGGTAGAGCGTTTATTGAACGTCATAAGGTACACATGACAAGTTATTTAGTATGCATATGCTACAACTATTACAAACATTACTAATACACTCTATTTATCATTATTTTTATACACTCTACCAAACGACCCCCTAGTGTTCGTGTTCTTTGTCTCCACTGAGTTCTAAAAGCCAAAAGCTACTTAAAATAAGTCAATCCAAACACCCACTTATATACAAGTACAATTCCATTGTACTCACATCACTTTTTATAATGTCAGGGGCGCTACGCTGCACTGCACTCACAGTGCAGGTTTAGACGTTCAAAACAGCAAGTCTCGTTAGACATCTGTTTCATCTATCAGTTGTTGGTTGGTGAGCTCCATTCTACCTGGGGCTAAGTCAAATCTAGAGTTCCTTTTTGATTATATATGTATTTGTATAGAAAGTTTGGGCAGGTTGGGGCCCTATACCGACAGTATGGCAGTTGTACAGTTTCCAGCTCATTCATAGAGGCTTCATAGACTTGTGTTGATGATTCCAATATGTGTATATGTCATGTCTGTTACACCGCGCTCATGTTTCAGGCCAGGTAGCCTTTCTATGTATCTACAGTTCCATCTTATCAGAGCACGTCATTTGTACATGGTGGCTCCCTTGCCGGGAAGCAGTGTTGTATATTTTCTACATTTCCAGATTATGTCCATGTGCTATAGCAGGTTGCACAGTTCAGACAGAGCTGGTCCACCTCAGGCTAGGTTTGGGGCTTGACATCTAGACTTTGAATTTCTTGTCAATGTTCTGCAATTCAAGTTGTGCTAATAATGTCCTCAAGATTATAACACCTTCTCTCTTTTCAATGATGAAGAATATATTCCTTTTTGTATGTAGTGCAAGAAGCACTTTCTCTCGCGACGTAGTTACCAACAACTTTCTGGAGGAAATAATTCCAATATCACTTACTTTTAAGTGATTGTACATCATTCCAGCGAGATTTCAAAGTCAATTCTATGTGTTCACAAAACAAGCAAACTCAAGTTAGCTTTCCCACTTTGAGATTGAAGGGGCCTAAGGAATATCGAGAGACTATGTTGGAGCTTTCCAATATTCAAAGACGCTTGCTTGCACCCCGGATGGTTAGGGGTTGTTTGTGGAGAACCATAACTTTTTGTTGGTGTTCTATTTCATTTGGTATATTTCTTCTATTCAGGTTATTCACTTTGTTAAGAGGAACGTTTGAGCTTTTGCCTAGTGAAACTGAATGCCCTTGAATTCTGGAATTTCTGCACTACTATGAATCTAATAAGAGCAAAAAGTTGTGCTATGAGTTAGGTAAGTAAGCCTTAAAAAACGGTCATTCAATCAGCAAGTGATAAAGGCATGAAAGTGACAAGCTCTTTGGGGGGTAAACTGATGCATTTAGTGCCTTTTGTCTGTTGATTATAGCAGATAACCATTTTGGTCACAGGCCCTAGTTAAATTTGCTGTAGTCACTTCTAAGGAAGATGAATGAAAATTTGGATGGTATGATTTAATAAAAAAAAACTCAAACAATATGTGCAGTAGTTTCCATAAGATGTACATAGTTACTATTACCTCATCAATAAATTCCTGACTAGGAACAGCAGATCGCCTTTTTATTGCTACAAGCATACCATCATGAAGCAATCCCTTGTACACCTCCCCAAATTTGCCTTGGCCAATTAAACTCTTATCACTAAAACCTTTTGTGGCCAAAGACAATTCTTCTATGTGGAAGGGCCTGGCATCTTGTGAGGTCAATTCAACCCCAGCATTTTTTCCAACTGCAAGTGATTCAGATTACTTGAGGAATTGGGAGAATAAATATGAAATGTTTGACTTAATAAGAAGTGAGATATGACCTTGAACAGATGGATCAGAAGATCCTGTGTCGGAAGTTGTTGAAATAGTCCTTTTACGAAAAATACAGAAGCAACAAATGAGAAGCAGAATCCCCACCAATGCCACGGCTCCTGCAGCACCTCCTACAATTGCTGCAAGAGTCCTTGACATTTGGCGACCACGAGCACTTCAGCTGCAAAGGTTGGGATATATATTTTGACACATTGAAGCTGAAATATGAAAGAGGGAATTAATCCTAATATTAACATTGTACTCTTTTGTGATGAAACCTAAAGCAACAAAGACACTCACTAAAAGCAGCATATCTGCGATAAAATAAACTAATTAGGGCACAGCACATAGAAGATAACGATAATAAAGAGAAGTGAACCTGATGAATGAATTAGAGCCTTCATTCACATTTGATTCCCTCCCACATTAACGACTGAAACTTAATCGCCGATGTTAGTTTAATTTAATAGACAAGGAAGGAAAGGGTTTCTTATTCTTTCTTATAATAATCATCACCATTGATGCCGACAGAAAGCGACCTGCCGCCGACAGATAATTAGTCCTTCTGCAGCTCAACAAAATTTAAATACTACTCTTTCCCTTTTGATTAAAAAAAAGTGTTTTTCAAGCACCATCTAGGGTGTGTTTGGTACGAAAGAAAATGTTTTTCTATAAAATATTTTTTGAAAAAGTTTTTAGTGTTTGATTTATGAATGAAAAATATTTTTGAGAAATATCTTTTATTTTTACTAAAATAGAAAATAATTTTTGAAATTGAAAATATTTTTTAAAAATAAACATAAATTTTTTTGGGGGGGCTTGGTAGGGGTGGGTGGGTGGGGGTCGAGGGTAGGGGTGAAAAATTGAAATTTTAAAGTTGAAATATTTTTTTAAAATAAACTTAAATTTTTTTATTTTTGAAAGAGGTGGGGGTTGATGGGGGGTCGAGGGTAGGGGTGAAAAATTAAAAGTTTGAAGTTGATAATATTTTTTAAAATCAAACTTAAATTTTTTTTTGGGGGTGGGTGGGGTAGGGGTCGAGGGTAGGGGTGAAAAAATGAAATTTTGAAGTTGAAAATATATTTTAAAAACAGACTTAAATTATTTTTTTTGGGGTAGGGGGTGAGTGGGTGCGGGGCAGGTAGGGGGTGGGTGAGAGGGGTCGAGGGTAGGGGTGAAAAAATGAAATTTTGAAGTTGAAAGTATTTTTTAAAAACAAACATAATTTTTTTGGGGGGAGGGGGCTGGTAGGGGGTGGGTGGGGGGGGTCGAGGGTAGGGGAGAAAAAATGAAATTTTGAAGTTGAATTTTTAAAAAATTAACAAACTTAATTTTTTTTTGTGGGGGGGGGGGGGGGGGGCTGTGTAGGGGGTGGGTGGGTGGGGAGGTCGAGTGTAGGGGTGAAAAATAAAATTTTGAAGTTGAAAATATTTTTTAAAAACAAACTCAATTTTTTTTTTGGGGGGGTGGGGGGGAGATTGGGTGGTCAAGGATCGGGATGAAAAAATAAAAATTTGAAATTGAAATTATTTTTTAAAAACAAACTTAAATTTTTTTCTTTTTGAAGGGTGTGGGGCTGATAGGGGCTAAGGGAGGGGGCGAGGGTAGGGGGTAAAAAATAAAAAATTGAAATAAAAAATATCTTTTAAAAACAACTTTTAATATTTTTTTTTGGAAGGGGTGGTGGTAGTGGGGTGGGGGTAGGGGTGAGAGTGGGGTAAAAAAATTGAATTTAAAAACAAGCTTTAAAATTTTATTTTATTTTTTGGAGGGGTGGTTGGGGGGCTGGTTTGACGGTAGAGACAAAATAAATTGATTTTTTCAACAAAAAAATAATTGTAATTTGAAGTTGGAAGAGAGTTTTGAAAAATGTTTTCATTAAGTTTTGAAGGGAAATCATTTTCCTTAAATTTGAGAAAAATGAGTTGATTTGAAAAAAAAATTCCAAAATATTTAACCCAACCAAAATGAGAAAATTGGAAAACATTTTCTGAAAAATGTTTTCCTTCATACCAAACACACCCCTATACTCTCACTCTTTTCTGTGGAGTAAGAGTATAGTTGCTGCTTTAAAAACACTTTTTTTTATCAAAAGGGAAATAGTTTATATTTTTTTAAAATTGATATAGGGTGGACAGAAGTGATTAAAAAACTTATTTTTTTATTTTATTTTAAAGTTTTTAACAAGATTTCTATTATAATATGGATAAATATGGGTGCCCATATTATCTATTGCTTAACTCGTTTTTATCAATTTAAAATGTGAGTCGAGTCGAATAACTTATCCATTTTTTGATCGACTCATATTCTACTCGACTCGCTCATTTGTCACTCCTAGTTGTAAAGTACTCCCTCTTTCCTAGTTACTTGTCCAGATTTCTTTTTTTTAGTTGTCCATAATTACTTGTCAATTTGACAAATCAAGGAAGGACAAAAAAAAAAAAAAAATACCCTCCTCAATTAATTACTTTGAAAAAGGTAAAACTTTTTGAAAATTTTTAATTTTTAATTCACCCCACTTCAAAATTAATAGGGAAAAAATGAAAACTCACTATATTAATTATTATTATTTTAATAGGTATATTAATTTAAAAGTTGATAAATAATTAAGGACATAGGGAATATCATTCTCCGCTACTCCAACTAATTGTCTTGTCCACATTATTTTGTAATATCATTTTTTTTATTACTATTATTTTTCTGCTATTGCTCTTCTTCTTTTCCTTCCGTGGAAATGATATTATTTCATCAAGGAACTACATTTTATCATCTAATAGGGAAAACTTTTCCTAACAGTATTAAAATATCTATAAATTTATATAAATTATATTTGATCATATTAATAAAGGGAAATTATATAAAATAGCAAATTATTAATTCAAATTAAATATTATAACCATAATTTGATTTAATTGTAACTCGTAGCAAACTGTTGCCATTTCGCCTCTCTCCCTTAATTTCTCGCTTACCACTCTCGTTTCTCGCTGAGCAGTCTCTCCTCGCCTCTCTCACTTTATACAAACACAAATGTATAAAATGTGTTTGTGTTTGTATAAAGCGAGAAAAAATTGTATATATACATATTTTTTCGTTCCCCTCTCCCATCTCCCTGATCTCGCTCGCAACTCTCACTCGCCTCTCTCACTTTATACAAACACAAATGTATAAATTGCGTTTGTGTTTGTATAAAGTGAGAGAATATTGTATATACAAATACAAATACATATTTTCGTCCTATACACTTATGATTATACAAATACAGATCTTCCTCTGCCCAATTTTCTTTTGTTTTTCTCTCGTTCTCGTTTTATACAAACACAAATTATACAATTGATTCTTTTGTATATGTATACCGAAACAAATTATAAAGTTTGCTATGGTGCGCAATTATACAAACTATAGATATAGCATACAAATATGATTTTTATGTTTGCTATGTGTGAAAGTTGTACGGATATTTTTAAATGCTATAATTGTTAAACTAAAAGTAATTTATGAATTTTATTTACTTTTTAATATATTTTTTAAACAGATAAAATTTATTTACTTGTTAATCTTATAATATCATTGATTAATGGATAATTTTTGAACAAGAAACCTTAATGATACAAATACAATATATATATATATATATATAAATACTGATTTAGCATCAATTAAACGTAATTATCAGTCTTAATGATATCAATACATTATATGATACTGATTATCAGTTAAGGGAGATTAGTTAGGAGTATATAATGTAATTATTTAGTGGAGTATGAATGTATAGAGATATATGTTTGCAATTATTTAGCTTTTATGGAGTATTTACTTAGTTTCCCCTAAACAATATGTGTGTATATATTGCCAATATTTTACTAATTATGGTCCTACCAATATTTGTTAGTTATTGCCTAATATATGTTAGGCCCGCGAAAGACGAAGGTGGTAAGCGAAGTGAGCTACACCGGTCCTCCGGAGGGGAAGTCGAAACCCGTGTTCAAGTAAAGGAGATATTGATTCATTAATGAATTTTTATAGGCAAAATGTCGCTGACAATGTGTTGAATTGACAGGTTACCTGATGAAGAAGCTGGGAAGGTACCAGCTACCTGCGTGGTGTTAAACCAAAATGCTAAAGAGAGCGAATGGGAAATCATGAACTACCTTTCATGTAATGTAGTACACTATAAGCGCGCATAGACAACCACGTCTAGTTCATTTAATTCATATGTGTTCTTTCTAATATTTTTAATAAATAAATTGTAGACTTATTTACTAAATTAACCTCTTGACTGCAATTGTAATTATTTTACTTTTATGGGGTATTTGCTTAGTTTCTCTATGTATATATTGTCAATCTTTTACTAATTATGGTCCTACCAATATTTGTTATTTATTGCCTAATATATGTTGGGTCCGTGCGTGCACAGACAACTACGTCTAGTTCATCCAATTCATATGCATTATTTCTTATATCTTTAACTAGTTTTGAGACACGTGCAACGCACGTGAATATCAAATCATGTACTACAACTAATTTTATGACATAATGTCAATATTATTGAATAATAAAGTATAATTCCCTATGAATAGTGGATATGAACTTTTTGATGAATACTATTGAAATTGTCGAATGAATATCCAAAATCACATATAATTATTTATAATAGAAGGCTAGATATAGATAAGGTAATGTGACACCTCTCTATGGCCTCCAATTAGATTTATCTTTTTCCTTCTTTTTTTTTGACTTTTTTCTCGTTTTAAAATTAATTGTGATATGTAAAAAAATAAATGCCACTCTTAAAATCTCTTAATTACACCTCTTAAATATAGTTTCTCCTCTTTGCCCTATAGTGCAATACTTGGCTATTATTGTATTTGTTGGAGTTCCCACTTTTAATATAATATAATTAAATAACTATTGATATAAAATATAGAAGATATAAAAAACTCATAGTTTAGAAATGTAAGGAAACTCCTCCATTTATAGTTAACAAATGTAATATGAACATGCGCTTATTCTGTTTAATCATCAAAGTCTTATCCCTTCAAAAAGTCACAATCCTTTGAAAAAGTTACAACCCATCGAAAAACTCGTAACCATTCAATGTGAAAAGGTGCATGCTTTTAAAATAAAATAATATAAATAAATAAATAAATATAATATAATATAAAATATAGAATACATACTAAATTGTGTGTTTTAAGAAGAAGAAGATGAAGAACAATAGAAAACTTTAAAAATTGGAAGAAACCCTCAGCGGAAAAGTCATAACTCTTTGGACTAGTCTTACCCTTCGAAAAAGTCACCTTCCTTTAAAAAAGTCACAACCATTCGAAAAGGTAATAACTCATTGAAAAAGTCATAGCTCTTTGGAAAATTCACAATCCTTTAATGTGAAAATTAAAGGTGTCTGCTTTTGATATAATATTATATAGTATAAATAAATATAATATAATATAATATAAAATATAGAAGATATACTAAATTTTATGTTTAAATCAAGGATATTATAATAAATTAATATTTAAGATCTGTAGTTCATACTTTTAAGGTAATATAAATAAATAAATTGCGGACTTACTTACTAAATTAACCTCTTGACTAGAACTTTACTCATATTTTCTTTGAAGATCAACTACACAAAGTGCATTTTGATTGTTAGTTGAACAAAAAATAAATTAATCATCAATAAAAGATAAAGTCCCTATTCTATTCCACCTATTTAATTTTATCTGACTCTTATAGTAAAATAATTATTTTACTTATCTAATTTAGCAAATGAAGATGAATATAGTATTTGCTTTCAATATTATTTTTACACTTTGCCCCTAATTACTTATCCATTTTTTTTAGTTGTCTACTTTGACAAATCAAGAAAGGATAATTTTTTTACCTATTATACTCTCAATTAATTACTTGAAAAAAAGTAGAACTTCTTGAAAATATTAAGTTTTTTAATTCATTCACTTCATAATTAATATGGGTAAAATGGTAAACTCATTATGTTAATAATTATTTTTTTAATAGGTATATCAATTCATAAGTAGACAAGTAATTAAGGGAAAATGAAGTATTATTAAATAACTATATTATAAATAATACTAATAGTAGGCAAGTTTAAGATTTATAAAATATAATTAAATGAACACGTGTCAAAGTAAAATGAAATGGAGGGATTCAAAATTAAAATAAACCTTCTTCAATGACCTCGGGCTCTTTTAATTTAGTTGGAAATGTGATAAATAATGTTACTTTTGCTTGCGAGAATATCGCCGGTTTCCTGTAAGCTGCCCTGCATTCACACTACACTTGCAAATCAATTTCTCGCTGTACAAATATTAGAGCTCATAATTTCAAGTCGCTAAATGCCGAGGGAAACTGATACTTGTCATAGTTGTGGCAAATTAGGGCACTGGGCAACACAATGTCCCAACAACAACGATTTCGTCGGAGCTGATGGTAAGAAATTTCGACGTTCCCTGCCCTGCCGTTGCGGCGCTGGCTCTTGCAAACTTTTCACCTCTAACACCCTTAAAAACCCTGGACGCAATTTCTACCGCTGCCCCGCCAACGACGTTAGTCTCCTGCATTTCACTAACATACATACCATTTTCTCTCTTATCCATGTTTAATTAAATTGTTCCCTTTTGTGTTTCAGAAAACAAAGTGTCAGTTTTTCAAGTGGGCTGACGAGATAAATTTAGACGAATTTATCAACGTTCCGCTTTGCCGTTGCGGTGCTGACTTTTGTCGCGTGAGACCTAATGCGGATCGGATCTTCTTCATCTGTCCGATACAAAAGGTGAAACCTTTTCTTTTTACTATTCCCTCTGTCCCAATTTATGAGAGAATTTTCGTTTTTCGACAGTCAAATTGAGAATTTGTGCACGAAATTTTTAATTTTTTAACATGAAATTTATATATTTAGAAATTATGTAAAAAGTAATATAAGTCATAATAATTTAATTTAAAAATGTTTAAAAGATTTATGAAAAACTTACTATCAAATTAAAGATAGAATTATTTGAATGTCGAAATTCGAAATGTGCCACATAAAATGAGACGGAGGGAGTACATAATTTGAGAATGACTTTTTCTCCTTCACATTTCTACTTTTGAATCTGGCAAAGGACATTAACATAATAAATATACCTAAAGATATCCTTTTTGACAAATCAGATGGAAGAATAGTGGTATATACTTATAACAGAATTTGGTTACGGGATCTTAAGAAGAAGATAAGAAGGCAGATTTGAACTTGTTGCATCGTCCCTGCTTAGTCACTGATATAAATTTTGATTTTACCTACATTTTTAGAACCATTGCTTGACCACCGATTCATCCACCGACATTAATACTGTATAAAGAATATGAAAGTTTGCCTCAGTGGACAGAGCTATTGTTGGTAGGAGGTAGAGGATATCCCATAAAATTAGTTGAGATGCGGAAAACCACATTTATGAAAAGGAGATAAACAAAAAAAAAATAAAAAAATAATAAATATAAAAGCTACTTACCATTCAATGCTTCTTTAGCTGGATACAATCATTTTTTAATATAATGGGAAATCCAGGATAGCCTTTATATAGCCTTTATATGGAAGGTCAGTTTTAGAAATATAAGAGTAAAATATTATTGAATTGTGTATCTACATTATTACAGTGAGACTTTTTTTTATAGACACTACATGATAATCCCTTTTCAAGTAGGGTTTTATATAATTATTCATGTTCATGCTCATTTACCTATTCCAACCCTACCCCTCAAGCGGGTGCATACAAGTCATCTATACCAAGCTTGTTACAAATGTAATTGATACGTGATTGGTGAGGGACTTGGTGAATATATCTACAAGAACTGATCACTCAACTTCACAAATTTTGTAATAATATGTCTTGAGAGTATCTTTCTCTTATAAAATGATAGTAAATCTCAATGTGTTTAGTTCTTTCATTAAATATTGAATTTGATGTGATATGAATGGCTGCTTGATTATCACACACAAGTTCCATCTGACCAATTTCTCCAAATCTTAGTTCTCTTAGACACTATTTGATCCGAACTAGCTCACAAGTTGCTACAACTATTGTTCGATATTCTGCTTCTGCACTAGATCAAGCAACCACGTTGTGTTTCTTACTCTTCAAGGACACCAAATTACCTCATAGTAAAACACAATATGTAGATGTAGAACACTTATAAAAGAGTGATCATGCCCAATCAACACTGGTATATCCAATGCTATACTCATGCTCTCGATCCTCGATGAGTAGTCCTTTACGTGAAGCTGACTTTATATATTATATTGCAGAATACAAACAACTACATGGGGAAGTCATAAACTGACTTACAACACTCGTAAGAAAAGATATGTCAAATTTAGTCATTGTGAGATAATTCAACTTTCCAACCAGCTAGCCGCCTATACCTTCCAAGATCACTTGGTGACTCTCCCGATCCAGACAAGAGTTTAGAATTCGGATTTGTAGGATTGTCAATCTTCTCTCATAGTGCTTTGACTTTTGCATCTTCCTCACTAACCTTTGCCTTTCCATTTACCACACAAACATTGTTCATTAAGTGGTCTTGGGCTCCTTGACCCTTATAGCTCAACTCAACTGAGGAAGCCCAAACTAACTTAGGTTGAGCTTCCCATTGACGTTTCTGAAGTGATCATAGAGTTTGAACTTCCAATTCCCATAATTTTGGTAGAGTGCATTAGAAAAAATAATGCATACATTAGCTTTGTGTATTACTAATATCTTGTTGGTACAGTTTTTCAACATAGGTATTAAGGTATGTATAACTAATACATGAAAATTCATGGTATTAGTAATACAAAAGGTTTTAATGCATGTATTAACATGATTAAAGATACCATTGCCCCTCAAAATCTTTTTTACATCCTTTCCACCATATTTGTGGAGGGTATATTTGTAAACAAATATATATTTTTTTAGAATTATGCAATGCATGGCATTTTTAATCCACCAATTTAATACACCAAACCAAACACTGTATAAGAATCAATCGTAGCATAACTATTGCAAACATAATACCAGCATTACTAATACGCTCTATTCAACATTATTCTAATACACCCTACCAAACAACCCCTTAATGCTAAAATAAAGATTGCTTAAGATAGCGGTAGAATACAAATTTGAACTTATCACAAAAAAAAACTAAAAATTCTTAATAAATGAATTTAGAATCACTATTAAGTACAAAATGACATCAAATTGTAGGTAAAAATTGTAAGATAAAGGGGCAAAGGGAACATAGAGTCAAGTTGATCAATTTCACAAAGATGAGAAAAAAGAACGAAAAATTATCTTGACGCATAAGAATTTACTTAAAAAGGGTCTGGAGATTGGTAAATTCAAAAGTAAAGTAGACACTGTCTTTCTATGATCACCGGTCAGTAGCTGATATTCAGATATGAAGGGAAGAATGTTTATAGTCAAAAAACACCTGATTTTTCATGTTCGAATGGGGAGGGGAGGAATGGTAAGTTCAAATAGGTCATTCTTAATGGAAATGCCTAACTCAAAAATAACTAGGTTTTTCAATCTTGGTGAAACAAAGAGTGTGCATAAGCGTTGGCAGTTATACTTCTGTAGATTATTAGAAAATTACATGTTAAAAACCATTATGTATGGATATACATACTGCGAAACAAAGAGAAAGTAAAACAATTAATACTATTGCCTTGCAACATATTTCATCTTCGACATATTGCATCGTCAAATTCAGAGATTGGATCATTTCGAAAGAAGGTGATTGAGTTGGCTTCAAGGTAAGGAAGTAGGGAATGCATATCTGGCAGAAATGCTTTCTTCATTTGTCATACATGGTTATTAGTCTATGATCTACCACCAGTACGACTAAGAAATGCATTATACTTACTTGACTTTGGAAAATAGGTTCTGCTTATTTGTTTGGGCACTATGGCAATCCTTGAAGTTCTGTTGCTGGGATCTAGTCATTGTATCAGAATCCCGCTTTTACTTGTTTTATATCTTCTCATAGTTAATTTAAAAAGGATTGTTACATTTTAGCTCTTCAAAATTCAACTGATGTTGACCAAACTCTTTTCAGGGACATGGAGCTTGTGACTTCAAACTATGGCTAGATTCTGAGGAAGCAGTAGCACGAAGCACCAAAGTAAATGAAAGCACTAGTTCATATCTGTCGACATTGACTAGCATTGATGTCAGTCATGTATCTAGTGACTTGGTTGAGGAATGCAATGTAAGATTTGGAGTCGGTCATACGGACACATCCCCTGAAGAGATTTATAATCACCTCAACACTTTTCCTGCAACAACTGGACCAGTGAAGAGTCACACAGTAATTTTAGAGGATTTAATTGGAGAGGACGAGGTGTTGGATGAACCTTCAAGAAAGCACTGCAAAAGATTGCGATATGATGAGCTGAAATTTGGTGATACTTCTCTTCTCTCTTCAATTGGATGTGTGCAATTGCCAACAACCAAGTCAAGGAACTGTTTGGCTGAAGAAAGGCTTCATCTGTCTCTTCTGGAATCTGAGGGGGAGATTCATCCAATACAGACTAAAGTTCGCAAACAGATTCTTGTAGAGGTTTCAGGTTTGTGTAGAAACTTACTTTTCTTCTCCTGTTTTCTGATTTGTTTCCAATGGTCACTCACCTAGTAGACATGAATCCCTGACAGGTATTTATGTTTCTTTATTTTGTTCTTTTTAATCCTTTCCCTTGCAGGTTCATTTGGTTCTTCCGTAGCTCATTCTTTTGCCTCACCAATGCATTTGGTGGCAACAGTGGATTGGATGTTGAATTCTATTCATCAAAATTTAGATCTTACACTTCAGGGTTGGTGGGGAAGGCTTGTGTTCCATCCTCCTCGGTGCTTGATGGTACCCTCGGTAGAGCGTTTTACTTCCTGTAAGTTTTTTTTTCTGCAACTGCATAATATTTTATGCTCCCTCTACCCCCTACTCTCTCCACAAAATGAACCATGAACCAAAAGGGGTGACTTCATTTTTAATCTATTTGCAGATATTTTTTCTCCTGAGCCCATTTTTATCCTTCAAGATATGGGTGAAGAAGATGATGCTTCCCTAGCCACTCAGCCAAGAAATCTTTTACCAACTGAAATTAACATTTGTACAGTGCTTACTGTTGATGAAGATGTGCAGCTCATAGACTCTCTCAAAAAAAAGTATGATGGAAAAAGTTTCCATGGAGGTGGACAAAGCAACATTATGAGGTGCTCGATCTCAAAGGTGTTTTTGCAGGCTGTTGATCGTCTTTAGAAGGATCTTCTTACCCTTTTTGAGTCTATGGATATCAAAGATCACATGACCATGATCCAGGAGGCAGATGTTACTTTTGCTGCTCTGGACCACTTAGGTGTTGATCGCCAACATTTTAGTGAACGAGTGAAGGCTTTTATTTCTTCTGTATCAGCACTGGCTAAAATTGAATGCTCTATATCCAGTGATCAATGTTTTGAAACCCTTGTTAATCACTGGATTTTGGAGAAATTAAAATTGGATGAGCCTTCTCATGTTCATTTTGAGGCAATTAATGTTTCTACTCTTGCTGAGCAACACCATCTAAACCTTAAAACTGAAGCTTCTGTGGTTAGAGCCAGGCTTTCTCAAATCGAGGCTGAATTATCCCATTGTGAGGTGGAGAACTCTGCTCTGTGGTGCAGCTTGGAACATATCAGGGAAGAGAAGAAAAAATCTGAGGAGTGTCTTTCGATTGCATTCAAGGAGCTGGAGAATGCTCAAGAACTCAGGAAACAGAGAGAAGTGGAGTGAAATGTTGCAACGGCAACATATGAGACAGCAAAAGCTATGCTTTGTGAATAAATCTGGTTACTATGTGTGCTTTGTAACAATGATGATGTATAAGGGGTGCAAATCCTGTATGGTTTCAGTTTGCGAGATACCTTTGTGTCAACTTCACTACCATGATGAATTACATAAATCTAAAGTGGTCCATAGTTTCTGATAAATAACTGATTGGTGGTGATATGGTAATCAAATTTTGCATTTCGAATGCGGTTGCTTGGAACAGGATTGTAGTGGGGCCGTGGTGGTCATGACTCCATTTATGTACATTGAACTGTATGAGCTAGGGAACACAGAGGGACCATTACTCTTGAAAGTGTATATTTGGGTTTGTGTTTTGTTACGTGTTATGCAGCTTTCACCAATCCTTTATCCATAGCAGCAGATGTATTCACTTGCGCTATTGTGTATTGTGCTATGTGTAGATGTACTCTTCCGTCTTTCGACAAGAACTAGACCAATATTTGTATATACTTGGATCGACTTTCCAACTTTCATGCATTGCGTGCACTAATGTAATAGCCTCTGTAAACTGTATTTTTATTGTGTGCAGAAGAAGAGTAACTGATCATCTAAATCATGACATCTTCAGTTATCCATGTAGCCATTCGTAGGCACATGTTTGTTTCCAGAATAGAAAATGTACCAATCCATTTACTTTAGAGTTTCTTTCCTCTTTTAGTTGCTACTTGATATATATTGGGAGTTGCCATTAGTAGTGTAGACCAGAAAGGGAAAGTCGTGCTTTGCACGGCCCAATCATCATTATTTGAAAATTCGTAATATTTATTTGTGGTACATTTAAATTTTTAAATTCAATAATATTTTTTCTAATAATAATATAATATTAACGATATAACATTAGTATTCAAAATAAAAAGTAATTTATAGATAAAAAGATGGACAAATAAATAAAAAAAATTAAGTTTATAACATTGTAAATATTTAATATGTTTTTTATACTAAAAATCCATTTATGTAGATTAGGTTTCTTATAATAATCATCATTATTTGGAAATTAGTAATGTTTATTTTGTGGTACTTTTAATTTTTAAATTTAATGATACTTTTTTTTCTAATAATAATATAATATTAACAATCTAACATTAATATTCTAAATAAAAGATGTAATTTATAGATAAAAAATGGACAAATAAAGCAAAAAATTACGTTTATAATATCGTAAATATTGCTACACTTAATTAAGTAGTACTTATTTAATATTTCAAAAAATTATTAAATACCTCTATTACTTGATAAATAATTAAATTATAATGGAGCAAATAGAGACCTTTTCTTTCCAAAAATATGTTGAAGCTACTAATTCTTGCAGGGATCCCACATGAAAAAGAGATAAACTACAGAGGAGGTGCCTTTTTGTCTATTATGAAACATGTTCATACAATATAACATATAGTACAATTAGGGGAGTTTGATTACTGGTTAGAGTTATGCAGGGTTTAGTTATATAAGTATTTATTATGCAGGATTTAGTTATGTGGGTATTAGTTATGCGAGCATTAGATATGTATGCATTATTTAGTTATGTAAAGATTACATTACATGAATTATTAACTATTGAATATTGATTTTAATATAAATTAATATATATTATTTACAAATAAAATATGTAAGCAAATAGTATAATTTCTCCTTTAAAAAAAATAAAGAAAGGAATTTTCTCTATACTTAACTAGGAATTATGTGTTTTTTTTTCTCTTTGTTTTTTTAATGTTTCTTATAAAAATAAAATACTACTAGTATATTTCAAGTACATTATACTATTCTATTTTATATAATGTAAATTTCTATCAATATGATGCATGTGTTGTTTGTACATTTTTAGTATACCAATTTTATAAATGATATATTAATTCACATTCTAAATAAAAATTTAATACATGATAATTAAATATGTGGATATATTTAGTAATATCTAATGCGAATATATAATTAGCATATGCGCTATCAAAATTATACATTCATATTCATAATATTAATAAATATTTATATTTTGATTTTAAATGAAAACAAATAAAAAGTTGTTTGTATAAAATAAAAAACAAAAGTAGTTGGGAAAATAGAATAGTTATGTAAAGTTTTTAATAAAAAGGATTTAAAAATAAATTAATAAGGACAAATGTGTAATTTATCTTTCTAATAATGTATAACTAATACCCATATAACTTATTCCACATTCTATCCTGCATAATTTATACATAGTTTCCCTCATAAGTTATGTAAGCATTAATTATGTAGGATTACAAAAAACGCAATCAAACACTGTATAAAATTAATATATGAGTAACTTTTATACAATATTTATAACTTATCAATCAAACATAGTATAAGTCATGTTGACTTTTCAACCTAATAAAAAACTTTTACCAAATATAGTAAAATAAATACAATGTTTTATACATGAATAACATGCCCTCTTATACCGTAACCAACGGCCCCTTAAAGCTCTCAAGTGGAAAGCCTTAAATAACTAAAGCACTCCTTAATTCAATTTTATTCTAAAAAACAGACACGTCAACGGTATAGTGGCCGCTTAATGCCACTTATATAATAAGAGAAAATCAACACATAAACTTTGCTGATTTTTCTTATGTAACTTGGTATATTTTTTATGTCATAAAGGAAAAAGAAAATCAAAAAATCTTCTACTTCCTAATGATTTGCTATGGAAAGAAGATATGAATTTGATCCAATGTTATTATGAAATCATTAAGATACACATTAAACATGTACTATTTAGTTTCTAATTAGTGTGTTGATTGGTATTTTACTCAACTTAAAGTATTACTCCTTTTCAATTCAATTTGTTTGTTTGTACCAAAGTTTTCCTAATAGTAGACATATATGAAAAAATTAAGGAGTTATGAATAATGTTAGTATTTTTTTTTTTTTTTGCTCAAAACAGAATTAAAAAAATTGAATACCTACATTCTTTACCCGTGGAATATATTATTTAAAAAAAAAAAAAAAAAACCGGCGTGGGCGTCAGTAGTACATCACGTTTCGAGGGAATAGATAATGTGGAAAACATTGATGCATATTGGTGGGTAATTAAGCTTTGCTTTGAGAAATTAGAATAAGTCTTGCTCTTACAAGTTTATCCATCCATGGCTGCAAAGGCCTCCCTCTTCTTCTCTCCCTCGGAGTGCTTTCTCACAACTCGTCTCTGCAAACTCTTCCCCACTACTCAAAAACCCTCTTTTCCCTCTCCTTCCTCCTCTTCTATTACCTTAACCAATGTCCTCAATGCCGATGCTGTATATACCAAATTGCCTCCCCGACTACGGAATGCAAGACAGGAGCAGGAGCGAGACGCCATTTCTCTACTCAACGAGCGAATTCGCCGGGAGCATGCTAAGAGAGATCACTCCCCTCTTAGACCGGCCATGGATTCCGAGGAGGCTGATAAGTACATTCAGCTCGTGAAAGAACAGCAGCAAAGGGGCCTCCAGAAGCTCAAAAGCGACAGAGCCAGACAAGGTGCTCCACATGATGCAGCTCAACCTACTTTTAGCTACAAGGTGGACCCTTACACTCTCCGTTCCGGCGATTACGTGGTCCACAGGAAAGTTGGAATTGGACGATTCGTTGGCATCAAATTTGACGTTCCAAAGGATTCCAAGGAGCCTATTGAATACGTCTTTATTGAGTACGCTGACGGTATGGCTAAATTACCCGTTAAGCAGGCATCTCGTTTGCTCTACCGTTACAATCTGTAAGTACAACACTCCTTCTTTATTTACCACCTTGTTATAGATTTGTATGCAGTACTTGTAATTCCTTGCAAAACTACTTTTTATTACCATTGGCTTCATTGTCCCAAGCTCCTGAGCTTATTGAGCCACAACTTATTACACTGCTGGTCAATTCCCCCTTTTGGTATTTAAAATTATGCAGTAGTGGAGAAGATTTTTGCATACTCACCAATACGAATACTGCTTTGATCTCCAATACAACTTGAAGGGCCTTCTTTTCAGTTCCTAATAGAGGGCATAGCTCTGACAAAGAATCATGTGCTGTCCAATTCTCTTGTCATAAATTCCCACCAATAGACCATCCCCCCAAACAATAGGCAAATTTCCTTAATACTAAAGGAATTTTGATTTTTCAAGTATAAACTTTGCGTTGCACCTCTCGATCTAAGCAATTTCTTGAATTAACATTTTTTCCGGTTAGGATGATACTTCCTCACTAGATCACTTAAAATGCATTTTCCATTCAAGTTAGCCTCTTTTCCTTAGTCACAAGCTACCTGCTTTCCAACCCTTGTTAGTCCAGCATGCTTCTTCGTGCCAAGGAAGTAGGCATCTAGCGGTGAGATGGGGGTCTGATTCTCGTTTTGGAAGAAATAAAATTATTGATAGAGAGAAACACGCTTTGCCTTTTATTATCCTTTATCACCACCGTTGGAAAGACTCTCTTGAGTTATGAAT